CCGGCCTGGGCATTCTCAATCAGTAATCCAGGCTTATTCTGTCACAAAATCTAGGATAATTATATGTCCACCAAGTGTATATACATACAGTTTGCTTCATACTTTACGCATTACTAGCTTTGGAACCCAACTTTGCCTGGAAGCTTTCTTTGTAAAAGTCAATTTGCTTAAGATAGAACTTTTAAACCAAACCAAAATCTGTGTTTTATACCGAGTTATATTCCATCAAATGTTGAGGCATATCAGTTCAAAACAAACAAACAGACACTAAAACAAAAAGATACGTTATACATTTTACATTTAAAAAAAAATATATATATATATACGTTATATGTATATATATATATACATATAAAGGCATAAGTTATATATCAATGTAATTTTCTAAAAAAGCTAAACTCATTGTTTCATTTATTTGAAACGAGATTTTAAAATAGATATTAAGATGTATGTAGGAAGGATTTCTCTTGTACTATAATAGTATTTCAGAGTAAACATTCTTCCCTGACCGATGGTTTAAAGAACCCTGAGTAAACCTAATTATAATTTCTGAACCTTCTGGAGAAAATTAGGAGATCTCATAAATCCTTTTCTCAGACAGTCTAGACTATATGTAGAATAGATAAATAACAATACAGATAGAACACTAGATATCGTCTTTTCATGATTTAGGGGTTTTTCGTCCACAATAACCCTGAGGCAGAAGCCCAAATGAGTTACGCACATGCTGCGTTGAATGACAAGACAGAGAGAGAGAGCATGCGCGTCTGCCTCAGGGTTATTGTGAACAAAAACCTTAAATCTTAAAAAGACCACATCTACTGTTCTATCTGTATTGTTATTAATCTATGATATGTAGACTCTATAGTGCAGATGATTTAGTAGTAATATTCCAGGAACCAGATTTCGTGAATAAGTAGTTGAACCGCGTAAAAGTAGCTGAACCACGCGGTTCAACTACTTCTTGCATTTACTAAATCTGGTTCAAGGTTTAGTTAGATACGTCGTTCAAATAGCAATACCTAGTTTAAACTACTTATTGTTGTTAATTAAATCTGACATCTAAAGGAATTGAGTCTTAGCAACAAACTCTTATATCTTGGCACCCAAATGTCGTTGACCTTAGATATTTCAAAATATAGATCTTGAAAGATCAAATAAATTAAGTTTAAAATATTAAAGTTACCTTCCTGTGGCAAAGATAAAGGGATTAGAAAATTTGAGTTTGTGGCAAAGAATTGGAATTCCTTTGGAATGAATAAAGGATGAATTGAAGTGTTAAACTCTCTGTGTTAAGGATTGAATAAAAGATTAAATGAAGGGTTAAACTCTCTGTATTAAGGGTTGAATAAAGGATGAATTGAAGTGTTAAACTCTCTGTATCAAGGGTTGAATAAAGGATGAATTGAAGTGTTAAACTCTCTGTATTAAGGGTTGAATAAAAGATAAATTGAAGTGTTAAACTCTCTGAATTAAGGGTTGAATAAAAGATTAAATGAAGTGTTAAACTCTCTGTATTAAGGGTTGAATAAAAGATGAATTGAAGGGTTAAACTCTCTGTATTAAGGGTTGAATAAAAGATGAATTGAAGTGTTAAACTCTCTGTATTAAGGGTTGAATAAAAGATTAATTGAAGTGTTAAACTCTCTGTGTTAAGGATTGAATAAAAGATGAATTGAAGGGTTAAACTCTCTGTATCAAGGGTTGAATAAAAGATGAATTGAAGGGTTAAACTCTCTGTATTAAGGGTTGAATAAAAGATTAATTGAAGGGTTAAACTCTCTGTATCAAGGGTTGAATAAAAGATGAATTGAAGGGTTAAACTCTCTGTGTTAAAGGTTAAATAAAAGATTAAATGAAGTGTTAAACTCGTTTTAAACTTATTGCAAAGATAATAAAGTAGAAGAGTAAACTTTAAATACAATACTTTGATTTTAGATTAGTTTTCTAAGATTAATATTTAAGAAAAATTAAGTAATTCATTTAAAATTTTCATTTGTTTCGTAATAATTTTGAATAAATAGTAATGAACATTTTACATTTTACTTAGACCGGGTTCCCTCGGCCCATGGTAAAGTAAAATTCTTAAAATAGTTGTAAATAATTATTATTGTCATTGAGTTATCTAAATAAAGTTATCATAAAGAAGTTGTAAGCCAAGACTCTACAGATGTTTGTTTTACCAACCCCCAATTTGTTATCACAGTTAAACTTAACAACTCTACTTTGTTTCCTGAGTATTTGTCGAGAAAACTTTATAAATGAATTTTTCAATTTCAACTTCATTCTGTTCAACCAGTTTTTCCTTGAGATTTGATAAAAAGCATTGTAATCCATGTAATTTGTAAAACTAATATTCAAATCTAAAAAATGTTCAGAAGTTGGAACTTTTTATGGATTATCGTAAATTTTGTACATTTGATCTCGATATCGGCACTGTTAAACAAGAGAAAAAAATGCTGGATTCCTGTATTAAAGTTATCCCTGCAAAGTTGAATCATTACGGGATATGGAAGAGGAATTTAATGAATTCTTAGGTATGCATATACGATGTAGAACAGTTTCTGGTTTAAATGTTTTTCCTGGGCACTTTTTCGATAAGAAAGCCATAGCATGGCTAGAAAATACTAAATAAAAATTGAAGCTCTATAACTTCTGAAAGGAAACCAATTAGTTCGTGATAAAAGGTTAATAAATTTGTGGAGCAAAAGGTTGAGGGGGCTGATAGGGGGCTGATGTGAGGAGGGGTCAAGGGCTTGGTCGGGAGAAAATAGGTCAAATCCTGCAACTGGCCAAGCGGTGTCCTTTTTTGACCAAATTAAGTGGAAAGATATAGGGTTTATAAAATCACAATTTGTGGCAAAGACTCAATTTCTTTAGGAATTTAAAAATTTGTTTTTATTTAAATCTAATAAAATTCAGTTTTTATCTTCAAAGGAACAGAAAACAAGAAGATTGTAGAGATTAGAAACAAATGTTTAAATTCCTGAAGAGCAATAAAAAAAAACTCTTATAAATGTCAAATTTTCTTTTAACAAAATTTGTTGGAGACATTTTTCAAAATGGAATTTATCAATTATGAAATTTTGAAGAATTGTCTGAATAAGTTGGCTCCGGTACTCTGCAACAAAGGAATTCAGGGTTTGCCACAAACTAACATTTTCTAATTCCTGCATCTTTGCAACCTGATGGTATAAACCTTTGATATTTCAAATTTAAATTGCTTGATTTTGCTTGATTTAACAAAATTCATAGTTTGAAATATCATTGGTCTACGACATCGGTTTGCAACGATGTAGTAATTAAGAAATCAGAGTTTGTGACAAAGAATCGTTTACTTTTGACATTTCTTAGATTGAAGAAATATGCAAGTTTTCAGTATATGTAGACGCAACCAACATTTTTGAATTTTGAAGTAGTTGCCTTGATTTTAAAGGACCTTAAACTGTATAAATTGAATTAATCCTTTATGCAGAGATGGCAATGTAAAATATACAACGGTACAAAGAAATTGAACCATTGCCACAATCTGTTGTGAATCAAGGTTCGCTGGATACTGTTGTGAATCAAGGTTTGCAGAGTACTATTGTGAATCAAGGTTTGCAGAGTACTGTTGTGAATCAAGGTTTGCTGGGTACTGTTGTGAATCAAGGTTTGCAGAGTACTGTTGTGAATCAAGGTTTGCTGGGTACTGTTGTAAATCAAGGTTTGCTGGGTACTGTTGCGAATCAAGGTTTGCAGGGTACTGTTGTAAATCAAGGTTTGCAGGGTACTGTTGTGAATCAAGGTTTGCTGGGTACTGTTGTGAATCAAAGTTTGCAGAGTAATGTTGTGAATCAAGGTTTGCTGGGTACTGTTGTGAATCAAGGTTTGCTAGGTACTGTTGTGAATCAAGGTTTGCTAAGTACTGTTGTGAATCAAGGTTTGCTAGGTACTGTTGTGAATCAAGGTTTGCTGGGTACTGTTGTGAATCAAGGTTTGCAGGGTGCTATTGTGAATCAAGGTTTGATGGGTACTGTTGAGAATCGGACACGGAACTTTAGAATGCAGGGTCACTTGAAATTAAACCGATGGTCCCTTCGAGACTTATTGTTTAATTTATAGAAATGTTTTGGTTTAATTGACATTTAAAGAGTAAAAATATATAATACGTAACTCTCAGAGGTCTTTTCTAGAAGAGGATTGTCTTTTATTCTTAAAGAATCGGTTTTATTGATTTTTTAAATTTTTTATGTAAAGTTATAAAATAATCTCTTCCATATAATAACAATGTGACCCACATAGACATATTGGTTTAACGATACTAATTTAAACTTTTATTAAAGACTTAAAATCACTTCAAATATTGGAAAATTTTTACAACTTTTAAGTTTGAAGAATAAAATGTCTGAAGTTTTCATCTTTCTTGAAGTCATCAACATTTTTAGTTGTGAAAGTTAAAGAAGTTATTTCATAAATGAATTTAAAAAAGAAATACATGAACACTCGCAACAAGTTCGAATACATGAACACTCGCAACAAGTTCGAATACATGAACACTCGCAACAAGTTCGAATTACAGTTTAACTCAGAACTTCGGAGAAAAGAAAGAAATTTTAAAATGTCGTCTTGATAATTTTTCAATTGGTTTTTATACTAATTTACCTAAATCTCAGTAATTGTAAAAATAAATAAATAGCCATGAAATATTTGGGAACAGTTACAATCAAATTTGAAATATCAGAAATACAGTGATTAGGAAATTTGAAATTGAGATATTCTGAGCTGAGATCTCTTGTATTTTGGATATTGAGATCAATGTTTGATCTCTATCTTTTGTTAATCTCCAGATTAAATTAATCTTTATTCGATATCCCGCAGCGTAAAGCATTGATCCTAAAATTAAAAGTGTCCATATTGGATATCGAGAAAATGGGATTATGAGTATCTAACCGAAAAGTTCTCAGATAAGTTTCTTTTAAAAATCCTAATCTAATATTTATTTATTTTTAGGAAAAATTGTCTCTGGGTGTACATCGTGAGTGCCTGTATAATATTTACAACTTGAAAAACGTCAACTGCCTAAATCTAAATTTACCTTTATCAGAACAATTTACCTTGCACACGTGTCTACCAGTGTTTCAGCCTGCTGCCAAATAATCATATTTTTACTGCCATCTCAAACTAACACTTTCCCGCCTCTCTAAGAATAGAAAAGGCTGAAGGTTGTTTCTTTACAGTTCTCCTAGATTTAAGACATTCTATCCTGACTACAGCTAAATCTAAGATCTCTGAATCTATGCTACGAGATAATTGAGAAAGAACCGGGACAGAAATCTGAGCTCAGTAAAACAGTGAACCTGGAGTAAGTACAGTGAAGGATACACAGTTAATACTACTTTACTCTTGCAGTAGCAAACACAATAGAAAGTTATGAATCGCAAGACAATCTGATCTTTAGAAAACCCTGAAGTTCTATAGATCTCCTGGTTCAAGATAAACCTGACTCCAGGTTCTAGCTAAACCTGAACTCCAGATTCTTGATAAACCTGAATCCAGATTCTAGATAAACCTGAACTCCAGATTCTAGATAAACCTCACTCCAGTTTCAGGATAAACCTGAACTCCATGTTCTAGGTTCTTAAAGGATTCCAGGTTCAAGATAAACCTGAACTTTAGGTTCTAGATAAACCTGAACTTCAGGTTCTAGATAAACCTGAACTCCAGGTTCAAGATAAACCTGAACTCAAAGTTCCAGATAAACCTGACTCCAGGTTCCAGATAAACCTGAGCTCCAGGTTCAAGGTAAACCTGAACTGAAGGTTCTAGATAAACCTGAACCTCAGGTCCTAGATAAACCTGAACTCTAGGTCCGATAAACCTGAACTCCAGGTTCTAGATAAACCTGAACTCCAGATTCTAGATAAACCTGAAATCCTGTATCAAGATAAACCTGAACCTATCCTGTATTAAGATAAACCTGAACCTATCCTGTATCAAGTATGAAACTCCTGTCTGACCCAGATACTGTGCCCGCATCTTTTAATGTAAGTTTTTTTTATTATTTTTTAACAACAATATTGATTAGATCCATACAAACATTTTTTTCTGTGTTTATTTTGTTTTAAAACCGCGAGTTTGTTAACGGTTTGTTTAATTAACAGAACTGGTGGCATTGTCAAAAAGCTGTTCTTTGTTAATTAATGATTTAACTTCAGTTAATGGTTTTTCCCCTTCGTTAATAAAGTTACTATTTGTTAATAATCTAGATTTTTAACGGCGTCAATGGAATTTATCTCAAAATTTTCTATATACCTTCATCGTAAAGTCAACAAGTTTTTATATCCCTTTATCGTAAAGTCAACAAGTTTCTATATACCTTCATCGTAAAGTCCACAAGTTTCTATATACCTTCATCTTAAAGTCAACAAGTTTTGAAAGTTTCTGGCAAAGATTTAGTTCCTCTGCAATTACTTTTCAAAGTTTAGAATATATATTTCGTTATTTTTCATTAGCGATTATTTTCTTGCGTTATGCACTGGTAATTAATATTTTTTCCGTTTTTTTTATTAGCGATTATTTTCTTGTGTTATGCACTGGTAATTAACATTTTTTCCGTTTTTTTATTAGCGATTATTTTCTTGTGTTATGCACTGGTAATTAACATTTTTCGGTTTTTTATTAGCGATTATTTTCTTGTGTTATGCACTGGTAATTAACATTTTTTCCGTTTTTTTATTAGCGATTATTTTCTTGTGTTATGCACTGGTAATTAACATATTTTCGGGTTTTTTTATTAGCGATTATTTTCTTGCGTTATTCACTGGTAATTAAAATTTTTTCCATTTTTTTCATTAGCGATTATTTTCTTGTGCTATGCACTGGTTATTAATTTTTTTTCAGGTTTTTTTATTTTCAATTAAATATTTTTATGAATACCGTATTTTATCTAAAGAGAGACACAATTTTATTTGAGTTTTTAAGATAAATAATTTGAACTAGCTCGACCTTGGTTCCAATGAAGATGTTTGATACTTTACTGATCAATTCTTATAAAAGGTTTCATCAATTATAAAGTTTTTATCAATCTTACTTATCAAAAAATTAGTTCGGCAAGGAAGTCCAAAAATATCATTATAAAATTTTACGTAGACACATAATTACTATTTAGTTTGTTCTGATTAAACTTTGAAACAACTCACCAGTCTTGGCTAATTTTTTTGGTTGGGCATGATAGAGGGAAGTTTTTTTGTGCAGTCAGGGTTTTTTTTCAATTTGAACTTTTATAATTTGTATTGTTTTTAGTTTTCAATGATATACAGAGCGTCCCATATCATATCAGATTATCTCCAATCTTTAACACCAAAATAAACCCTTAATACTCGAAAAACTTATCATTTTCCGCAAGAAAATTCTTATATAACCCTTATGTTAAATTAAATTTTCTAATTAGTCCCAAAGATCGTAATTTAGATCCGTTCTCGGTCTAATATGATGTGGGACACCCTGTAATAATGAAAACAAAAGTATATATCGAGGTATCTGAAATCTTTTTTAATGAAATATCTTTTCTCATTTCCTTTAAAATGAAACTAAATGCTAATTTAAGCTTTGAGGAATTCATTGATGAATTCAAAGAATTTTATAGAAAGTGGAGTTTTAACAAAGAATTTTAAAACAGTTTGAAATTCATCGAAAATGCAGTTTTGATGATGTTCTAATACCCAAGGAATTTGAGGCTGTGAACTTTATCACAAATATTTTAAAAGGGGAAAAGGTATTGGATTGTTTAGAACTGGCGGGAGCTCTCGGAGCTTTAATGCAGATTTCAGTGTAAACCCTGGTTTGGTAAAAGTCTAAAAATAAATTGAGATTTTAAACGCTGGGTTTTGTTTTAAATTCTATAAATGAATTGAATTTTTGTCACAAAATATGATTTTCGAATCCTTCCATCTTTGCGAATTTCTGTAAGATCAGAGAATTAAGTTTGAAATATCTAAGCTTCACGATCACAAATCAGGTTGCCAAGATATAGGCAATAGGAATTGGAATTTGTCGCATAAGCTCAATATCTATTATAAATCATCTGAAACTTCTGTATACAAAATATTTTTTAAAAAATATATAGGAAATAATCTGTATCTGTATTGAATCTGCTACTTAACTAGCTAACTAAGTATGCTGAATCAGTATATGAATCTGCTTCTTGAGCTACTTTACTTCAATATTTATCTAGCTAACTATGTATAATGTATCTGTATTGGATCTGCTACTTGAGCTACTTTACTTCAATATTTATCTAGCTAACTCTGTATACTGTATCTGTATTGAATCTGCTACTTGAGCTACTTTACTTCAATATTTATCCAGCTAACTATGTATACTGTATTTGTATTGAATCTGCTACTTGAGCTACTTTACTTCAATATTTATCTAGCTAACTCTGTATACTGTATCTGTATTGAATCTGCTACTTGAGCTACTTTACTTCAATATTTATCTAGCTAACTATGTATACTGTATCTGTATTTAATCTGCTACTTGAGCTACTTTACTTCAATATTTATCCAGCTAACTATGCAGGAGGAATAGAATACAAGATAATGTTACTTACATTCCCCTCAGTAAACCTCCTTCGCTAATATCCTTTTGTTTTCTCAAGGGTTATCAGAATACACAGAAACCCTTTCTCAATTCCTTTCTTCCAAACAATAAAAGTTTAAGCAAAGCCCGCATTACAATAGATTTCTCAGAAATTCAAGTTGTACCAATGCAATGGTTCATTGTGCAGACAGAGTTTAAAAATACCTAATCCACAAAAATATGAAATAAGCTTATTTTCTCAGAATCATACAAAAAAAATACTTTTATTTCTGATATTTTTACTTTGATAACTCCGGTCCGCCTTTTAAGGAGCAGAGCAATAGCAGAGCAAGTACACATATAGACTATAAAAGGTATAACGGAACATTACATCCATCAAATGAATAAGCCCCTTCTTGATAGATCATAGTGCATAAGCTTATGTGAACCATAAGAGAGTTAATATTTAGAAATTCGTTATTGTAAAAATATCAAAGTGGGCTTTTAAGAAAATTATGATTCTTAGAAAGAATAAAAATGATTTGGTTTATTGTATTAACCTTTGTTACTCGTTATTTCCAGAAACTGAGTTCAGATTAGTTCGTAAATCAATTTCTGTTTTATTTCAGGATGAATGGAATTCCAGTTCTCAAATACAACCTTGATTCATCAGCAACATGAGAAGGAGTTTGATCATCCTGGGGTTAACCCTGGTTCTCCAGGTACAGTCCGGAGATCAGATAGATTTCGTGAACCAGGAGGAGGAATCCATTAACAACCTCACCAGGATCTTCAAAAGCCCCCCGGAGTCCTACTCTAACACCCTTGGAACGATTAAAGTAGTTGCTTACTCCGTGATAGCTAACTTCATTGTCGGAGTCGGTTTGATCGGAAACCTGCTGAACCTTGTAGTATTAACCCGACCCAACCTGAAGGGTGTGATGTATGTATACCTGCTAGGGCTGGCCGTATCTAACCTTTGCGTTCTACTCTCCGCTCTACCTGGTTTATACGATATCTCTGTAGGGTTGGAGGACGGATACTACTCCACTGCCTTCTACCAGGCGCATCTTAAACTGCCGATAATTAACACCTTCATGGCCAGCTCGGTTTATATCATCATCTGTATGACAGTAAACCGATATATCTCCATCTATAAACCAACCCAGTTCCAGAGGATTCACACACACAAGAACGCTAGAATCTCAATCTTCTCTTCATTCTTTGGCGGTTTGCTCCTAAACATCCCGCTCTGCTTCCAGCAGGAGGTGGTCTGCAAGGAGGACTATAAGCTGGAGAACGACACCTGCCAGTATTGGATCTCTGTTGAGAATGATCGGATTGCTGTCATCATGCAAGTGTACACTCTTGTCAGTGAAACCATTCTCCGGTTCGGACCCATCATCACCCTCGCAATCCTAAACTCAATGATCATCTACAAGTTCCAACAGCTTGCTAAGAAGAGACAGCGTCTGAAAGGATATACTGGAGCTCGGAGTTCAAGGATTGGAACTCCTCCCTCCTCCCCCAGCCCGTCTAACGTCATCAGCTCCGCTACACACCTCAGCAGAATCAGCATATCTCACGACGGCCATCTCTTGGACAAGGTTACGGAGATCAAAGCCCCTGTTGCGAGGACCAAGAGCAGCCGAACCTCGACACGAAGACGATCGCTGCAAAGTCCAGAGGAGCGCATGCTGGTCATTGTTCTAATCTCGATTGTTGTGCTGTTTGTCTGCTGCACAACACCCGCGGCAATACTCTCGATCATTTTTACCGCCAAACTGCAGAGTAACAGTGGATTTCAGATTTTCCGCGCAGTTGCCAACAATCTAGAGCTTCTCAACTTTGCTTTGAACTTTTATATCTACTGCTTGTGCAGTGCAGAGATCAGAAGAGCTTTTGTATCTCTCTTCATGAATATTGTGAACCTGGTTCGGGAGAATAAGGAAGCCCACCCTAAAGTTACTTTCGAGGAAACCAAAAAATAATTTAAAAATTAGAAGAAAAAAGAAGAAAGATGATACACACGCACCTCTGCTTCTTTAGTAAAATTGAATTCAGCCTATATGAAGCATAAATTCTGACCGCGTCAACCTTGTTGCACCAGCTAGTCCTATCCATAGAGCTAGGTACAGTACAAACTGGGACCGGAAAGGTTGAAATTCAAATGTACTACGGCTGCCCGTGGATAGTGAAGGCCAAAATCTTAATTTCGTTTCCGTATTTATTGCTCTTCGATTTGATATAATTTAAATTTCTGTGAAGACGCGTTTTTAATTTCTCTTTTGGGACTCATATCAAAAGTGGCAAGGATATCTTCAGTAAGCGTGCACGAAACGCTTGAAAACTACGATAATCAACATAACTTAACTAATATTACATCAGAAAGGATTTGAGTAATTAAGGCACAAACTTAAATTTTCTAATCCCTATATTTTTGTAACCTGATGGTGTAAACCTTTAATAATTCAAACATAGTCTAAATTATCCCACATAATTCATAGTTTTGAAACTTCTAAGGTCTAAGACATTTGGTTGCAAAGATGTAAATATTAAAAATCAGAGCGTGTGGCAAAGATGTAAATATTAAAAATCAGAGCGTGTGGCAAAGATGTAAATATTAAAAATCAGAGCGTGTGGCAAAGACAAAGAAGTTTCATTTTAACAATTTGGGACGCACTTAATAGTCATGTGGAATATCTGTATTTTAAACATTAACAAAATATTTTTACAAATATCTGAAATAATTTCTTGTTTTATTAGAATACTTGTTTTTGGGTCAAATTACAACAATGTTTATGTATGCACTATGTATACAATATACATGTTTTTCAGTCTGAATAAGAACGGAGAACCACAAGATTTATCTACGAGAAATTTAAATAACGGAATAAAACTTTCCAAAATTATCCAGACAAAAGTTAAAGAATTTATAGAAATTTTCTAGTTCTAAATTCAAATTGAAAATAGTTTTAAAGAAGATTTTAAGATTTGAATTGAGGTTCAAAGGTACAGTGTGTCCCACGAAACATGACACTAGCAAGACGAATTGAAGGTCCCAATCATATTAGAAATTAGTTTGCGGTGTTTATTCATAAACCTAATTTTAGAATTAATAATCACAAAATACCTCTAATCTTGGCATTTCCCAAATGTGCAGTCAATGTGCTTTCAATATTTAGAATTTTGTTCATATTTTAAACAATTTTGGTTTTAATCTATGAACTCTTAATATCTCCGGTAATATTGAATGCACAAAAAAACCAGACCACATTTTGAAAATGCTAGATCTAGGAGAATTTTTTGTTTGTTTATTGTTTCAAGAATCATAAATGTGAAAGTAGGTTGACGACTGAATGTCTCAAATAAATTTTAAGTTCTAGAACGACTTTCAAGTCCTCTAGCTACTGTCATGTTTCAAGTCCTCTAGCTACTGTCATGTTTCAAGTCCTCTAGCTACTGTCATGTTTCAAGTCCTCTAGCTACTGTCATGTTTCAAGTCCTCTAGCTACTGTCATGTTTCTTGGGAACAAAATTGAATTTAATTAAGCGTTGTGATATTGTTTAATGTTCATCATGAGTAAAATGTGTAAAAATTTCATATTTTAACAATTTTAAAGTGATTGCTTCGCGCCCTATTTCCCAACACCATTTCCTGCCATTTTATTCTGAATTCAAGATTTTATTCAAAAAAAGTTAATAAATCTATTTTGGCAGAAGAAATACATAAAATGATTTATTTTCCCCCATTTTATTGAATGGATTTAGGTTGATATCCAATCTGTAAAAGTGTTGGATAAAGTTTATTAATATTAATCTTTCACCCCAATTCACTAAACTGACATTTTATCCAAACTAAGAAAGACGAAAAATAATCTTTAAAAAAGAAATATTCATTTTTGATGTTGTTCTTTTTACACAGAGGAGAAAAAAATCAGTTTTCTTTTTTCTCAACAAAGTTAAGATTCAATTTAATCTTCTGCAAACAAAGTTTAGAATTTCCCCTCGTTTCAGAATATATCAGAATATATTAATCTTTTTTCGTTCAATTCAACCATTATTTCACGTTCTGGTTTCAAACCGGCACAAAATTTGGAATTTGATAATTGATTATTTTACACATATTATCATCATTATATCATGCATATGATTAGAACTATATTTATGATCAACAACTGTTAAAAAGTGTAAAATTATTTATAAAAATTATTATTGATCTGGTAAATTAGGAATCATAGTCTTGGCTTTTTTTTTGTTCATCAATTTTCAATCAAAGTATTTTTTCGTAATTAATATTTATACGATGAAATGTAACCGTTCAATGTTGTTACTGTTACTGTTTAAGCGTAACATGTGATTGTCTTCAAAAATGCTAAAAATCCGCTGAAACACTGAGGCAAACATATTGAATTTTCTGTAAAATTTTTACAACAAATTTCTCAGATTTTATAAACTTTTATCTAAATTTACTATTTAATATTTACTGCTTTAAAAAGTCTAACAATCCCAGTATTAAAAATTAAAATTGTAATATTTGATTGATTCATTTCTAAATAAAAACCCCAGGTACAGAGTGTCCCAAAAAAGTAATTTTTTAAAACTTATTATCACAAAATACCCCTAGTCCTGGCATCTCCATATTTTGACCTGCCTAGGTTGTGCTTTCCAATTTACCGGAGAAATGACGGATTTCGTTAAGATCTTACAAAGGAATTGACTCTTTGCAACAAACTTTGATTTTCTAATCCCTATATCTTTTGATTTCGACGTTGTAAACCTTTGAAATCTCAAGCTATGACTTTTGTTAGATCAAAAAATATAAGTTTGAAATATCAAAGGTTTACGACATTGGGTTCCAAAGATATTGGGATTAGAAAATCAGAGTTTGTGGCAAAGAGTCAATTCCTTTGGTTTCAGTTTTCTGGATTGAAACCTGAGGGAAACTCTTAATATTTCCGGACAAATTTGAAAGCACAAAAGGCACACCACATTTTGTAGAAAACAGGACTCGAAGAATTCTGTGATTACCATGTTTTAAGAATTATACAAGGAGGATTAGGTTGAGGAGTCGATGCCGCAAATTATTTTAAAATTTAACGATGAGCTTAACTTCGTCTTTCTCTGTCATGTTTTGTGGGACACCCTGTTTTTTAACAAATTTGAACAATCCCTTAAATGTTCTGAAGAGTATTGTTATGGTTGTTATGTAATCTGCATTTAATCTTTCTCATTTTCTAAACAATTTTATAAAGGAATTGAGTCTTTGTCACAAACTATGATTTCCAAATCCCTGTATCTCATTAGATATATCAAACTATGAACCCTGTTAGATTAAATATTCAAAGTTTGAAATATTAAACGTGTACACTATCAGGTTGCAAGGATATAGTGATACGAAAACTTAAGTTGTGGCAAAGACTCAATTCCTTTACAGTCACTAAATCAAAATTGAAAGCAAATCGAATACACCTTTTATCATTGAACATTTAAAATACGGTTTAACCCAGATCTTCGGAAACATCAAACGAATTTATAAAATGTCGTCTTGACAATTTTTTAATGGGTTGAATACTATTAAATCTAAATCTCAATAATTGTAAAAATAAATAAATAAGGCTCCAGTACAAAAGGTAGAATTACAAAAGGTAGAATTACAAAAGGTAGAACGACAAAAGGTAGAACGATCAAAAGGTAGAACAAACAAAAGGTAGAACGTTCAAAAGGTAGAATTACAAAAGGTAGAACGTTCAAAAGGTAGAATTTTCCAAATTATTTTTTTTTAAATGTCCAAAAAAAGTGAAAAAATAATGTTTCTTATTTATTAGGACTAATTTTTATTTTACAAATGTACATGATTTTAATCTATGCCAATAATTGTGGCAAGCTGTTTCATATAGTCTGGTGCAGGGAAATTATTATACATTTCAGTCATGTTTTTAATCCTTGTACCTTTATCTCTCTGTTTTTGTTTGCGAGCGTTCTCAGTTCTGTTTGCACCACACTGGCTAAATCAAGAAGAGTTTTCCTTGACAGGGACTCTTCACGTATGAAGTTGGTGAATATAGTCCAGAGGTTGTTGTAGACCTCGTTTGAGTTGTTGGTTATAGGAATATCCTCCCTAACCTCCATCCACTTGTTCTACAACGTAAACTTGAATAGGGGATTTTTCTTTCTGAAAAATAAAAAAAATCTACCTTTTGAACGTTCTACCTTTTGATTGTTCTACCTTTTGATTGTTCTACCTTTTGTAATTCATGGAAAACATTAAGATGGAAAACTAACAAGATGGAAAACTAATTCTACCTTTTGTCATTCTACCTTTTGTAATTCTACCTTTTGATTGTTCTACCTTTTGATTGTTTTACCTTTTGTCATTCTACCTTTTGTAATTCTACCTTTTGTAATTCTACCTTTTGTAATTCTACCTTTTGTACGTGAGCCATAAATAACCATGAAGTATGCACGAACAGTTTTAAAGAGCTCCATATAATTATTTAATTAAAAAAAACTAAATATCTGCAGCATTCATTTATCGGCAGTTTATAAATTCTTTCAATGTCTTCAAATTCAGGGTTAAACTGTAGTACATGTCTAATCTTTGATATACAAAGAGATAAATATTTGAAAATAAAAATACTTTTCTCATAGTTTTAACCTTATCTTAGCATGATGAGGTTTTTTATGCATCAAAAACAAACAAAATCATGTTATAATTCATCCAATGTTTAGAGAAAAACCTTTCTAAATGTTGAGTGTTAAAAAATGTTGGGTACAAACTTATTTAAATATTAACAAATCTTGAACAAAATTTAATATAAACTTTTTTGTGAAACATTTGATCATTTGTGAAAAAAGCAAACTTTATCCTTTTATTTGTAATATTAAACTGTTATTTATATATCTGTGCATTGTTTAAATCAAATTAGTAAAATGCATGTCTTTTTCAAAAATAAATATTTATTATGTTGTACTACGTAGTATTGGGTCAAGGCACTATTTTCAAAAATATGTTATTTGTGAGAAAAATTCGAAGTAAATGGATTAGAATCAG